CTGACTCGGATGACCAGTCCCTACAAGTATACGATAAAAAAGTCAATGAATTAAAACAAATAATGTATTTTAATACAAAATTATAAATAAAACATTAATTTTAAATTACCTGGCTCTAATATCTCGAGCGTTCTCCAGAACTGGTGAATCATTCCGAGACCAATCGGAACGTCGAAATCAACTGCGTTACGGAGGAGACAGGCACAAGGAAGTCTATGAGTGAACTGCAATACACAACCGCAACTAGTGTAAACATCGGTGTCCAACTTGTGCATCCTCGTAAGCTCAGCGTCCAATAAACTCAGACAGTAATGCGAGACCCTCAGTATCACGCTCGCAAAACGGATTTCCTTATACCGTGTATTCTTCTTAAATCTCGAGGCCTCAAGCGCCGTCCTGATAATACGTTACATAACGTTAGATTATAATTAATTAATGCAGTAATATAATAACGCATTTAAAAATTGCAGTACGTACTTGATTTCAGTCACTTGATTATCGATATGCTTATTAATCTTCTGCCAAACCGTATCGGGCGCGCCGGTGGACGTCTGAAGCCACTCCTTCAACGCAGAGTGGGCACTCTCCACCCTACAGGAAGTTGTGTTTCCAAAATGTGTCACTCGGTTGGTCCAAGCCTTCACAAACTTCTCGCGGTGCACTAACCATGTGCCCTCCACATACCGTATCACCTCTGGATTGTTCGAATATTTTGCGCGCAGCTCGGCAACAGCATCGTTGTAGGCATCAAACGTACTGGCCTCTGCAATCGCCTTCCACGTACTGTGCGTGAAAATCTCCGAGAATTTATTATTCTTTCCAAATAGTTGGTAGGTTTTGGCTTCCACATCCTTGTTGATGTGCCACGTGCAGAGTAAGTGGGCTGATTCAGGAAAATGCCTCTGAATAGGAGTGAGTAAACCCAACTCTCTGTCACTGACAACAACATAAGGATATACGCTTTGGCCTATCAGTAGTCTCAACTTCTCTAGAACCCAGTCGTAACTGGTCTCTTTCTCGTCCCTGATGAGGGCATACGCAATTAGGAAGTTCTGGTTGCACGGCGTCATCCCAATCATCTCGACCAACGGCATCTTGTACCTGTGCAAATGTGACCAAGAAGACAAAAAATATAAGCACATAAATATATGCGTCAACACTTTTAAGATTCATACTAATAAAGTATTTATAAAGTAACATACCTGTTGGTTTTATACGTGGAATCTATACCGACATACCAGTGATATGTCCGGAATAGATTGATCGACGCAGGATGGGCCATGAATATATGCGTCAACACTTTCGTGTTCGGATCGGATTCTACATAAACTGTATACTCGCTGCTCACGGCCAAATGCATAAGCTGAGTAGGAACGTCTCTACCGTCGGAACCCTCTCTCCGCAGCTTATCTCTAAAGTTATATACCTGTCACCGATTAGCGTTAATTATAATGATTATTATAATTTAAAACAAAAATTTTATTATATTAATAAATAAAAAAGTATATTAATGCGATTAATTTGATAAAAAAATTATTAACTATCACAATAATAATACATTAGTAAATATAATAAAATTTATTAACTATTACAATAACTTTTACATATAAAAAATTACTAATTATCATAATTAACTTAAATAATTTAATTAAAACATATATTACAAGATATAGATATATATACCTGCCGCACATGAACGTTGTCTCCCGGATTCTTTTCCTTCAGCGCGGCCATAATTTTTTTCGGGGCCACCTGAGCGTCTGTCATGTCACGAACAATTTTCTTAGATAAAGCGCTGAGACCGCTCAACTGGCTATGACCCTCAGGATATACAGCAAATGCATGGTTATGGTAGCCTTTCTCTTCATTGCTACATCTACAGATCCTCCAGTATGGAGCGCCGGACACCTTTTTTACTTTGATCTCAAAATTGCAGCCGTACTTATTCGTTTTTGTCCTTCTAGAATTTCCGCCTGTGCCTCTGTACCGTTCGCCTCTATGGCACTTCAAAAGTCTGACCGTTTTCTTTTTGTGGCTCGAAATAATTAATAGGAAACCATTCAGCATTGCCTGGTGTTTTGCAGCTTCAATAGCCTCCTGAACACTATTATATAATGTACATGTATCGAAACGCATACTGTAATCAACACCATCTCCTCCAAAATCTTCCCATGACTCCTGCTATATAGTACAATATTTATATTTTTAGAACATGTTAAATTAAGATAATTAATTCTACCATGTAACATAATAATTTGTAACTCGTAACATGATATTATCTAACGTTCAATTAATATAATTTGTAACTCCTAACACGATCACGATAATATCTAACGTCCAATTTATATTATAATAAACATGTAACACAATAATTTGTAACTCTTAACACGATACTATCTAACGTCAATTTATAATATAACTAAAACTAATATGTAATATAATAATTTCTAACTCGTAACACGATAATATCTAAACGTCCAATTTATATTATAATCAACATGTAACATAATAATTTGTAACTCATAACACGATAAACGTCCAATTTATAGCATAATCAAGTCTAAAATGTAACATAATAATTTATAACATAATAATATAGTCCAATTTATAACATAACTATTTCGAATAGATAACATAATAATTTAAAAAAAAAAAAATTTGCGGCCGACCGGCCGAACCGGACGGACCGGTTCCGGCCGGCCTTCGGACATGGCCGGTCCGACCGGCCGTACTTTCCGGACAGCTTATAGCTCGTCCGGACCGGCCGACCGGACGGCTTAAAAACCGTCAGGTTCCGGCGGCCGGACGGGCTAAAAGCCGTCTGGAACCGGCGGCCGAACACCTATTTTTTCGTACCTCCGAATTTGACGACATTTCACCGTACACTTTCCTCTGAGATGTTTAGAAAAAATGAGAAGGGGAAAATTATCCAAGAGAGACGGTGACTAGTAAAATGGGGGCGGTGAATAGCAACACCCATTATTAAAGAAAAGATGATGAAATAGAAGGCGTGGGGTTTGATTTCCCGCTACGTACAACGCTCCAAGTGGGCCCCACAGGCGCCTATTTTCCTGCCGACCATTTCCCCACTCTGTTTTCCAAATCAATAAAATCCGACCGCCCACCTTTTTATTCTAGTTGATGGAAGGTAGTACCAAATTCCTTTTCGAAAATATCATTCTTATTTAGAAAGTAGGTGAAAGTAAAGTATAACTTACAAATCCCTC